TAAGCCATTTCTTAATTGTATAGCAATCTGTTGGTGCATGGTATTTTTCACCACACATAAAACTAAGAGAAAGAAGGAAAATACAAAAGGAAATATATTAATTGTTGAATGAGTGGGAAAAACTATACAAGGTACTGCATATGCAAATCAACAGGCAGTCTCACTTAAAATTTACACTCCCAGACACATTTGTTGGAACAACCAGTGCCCCCCCCCCCCCCCCCCTTCCCCTCTCTGCCCTTCTTCATGATAGTCTGCAAGATGGCGTAGAAACAATGATGATTTACAACACTGGAAGGGGTAAAGGCGCAAAAGACCATCATAGATACAGTTCTGGAAGAAGTGTCTTAACTAAATATGTAGCAGAATGTGGAATTATCATAAATTAAGTAACAAAACACACTCACAAGATTAGTAAATTGTTCATCTTTGGGGAAAAAAATTAATCTCAAAATTCTATGATTAAGAGTAAGAATATTGAATATTAGAGCAATGTCTTTTTTTAAAAGCCTTTAATCAATATTTTCTTCTGTCTCAATGCACAAACATCAGCTAAAATGTTTCCAATTTTCAAACAACCAGAAATTTCGACAAATTATAATTTAAACATTCTCCCACCTCTTAAACACAGTCATAAACTGTGCATGACTTTCCCTTTAGCCCCTCAACACCTATGAGTAACTAGGATCTAATTTCTCCTTACAATATCACCCTTGATACACATATTAAGGTAATGAGAATAAAGGATATGATCACCAACTAAAGACGCTCCTGATTTTTAAACAATTTCTCTTTGTTGGCAAGTTAAGAAAGGTGTAGAAAACATTGTAAAGAATATGTATGGTGATGTTAGGGTGTGCTGGGTTAATGTTGTTATAGTCATAACAGAGTGGAAAAAATTCTAACTCACCAAAATATTGAACTGCAATTTGAACACCATATTCTTTTAGCTTTAGGCTCCAACACCTTCACCAGGAAACCACAATCATTGCCAGGACACCATCTTATTAAAGGATGACACTAAAAAAAAGAAAAAAGCAAAAATTTATTTTTAGATTAGAAAACAAAG